GTTCCAATTCTTGTTCTGCCCAGTCACTGGTCAACTGGGCAACATGCGTTGCTTTAGATTTCTCCTTCAATCAAAACGAACACCCATCTCCATGGTCGGTGGGAAGTCTGGGACAATCGTCAATTTCGGCTTCAGATTGCTCCGGAGGGCCGCACGAATGAGGGATGGTCCCGCTTGAGACTTTAGAGAGGGAAGTACTCTCAACGCGCGTTCACCTGGTTGTAATGGAGCACTGTAAAGAGAGTTCTGAGACGACTTAGTCAACTTACATCAACTTGATCCTTTCATGTCCCATGGAATTTGGGTCATTTCAATTACCGCAATATAAAATCGGAGACTGTAGGAGACAACGGGAAACACATGCAAACACACACGCACAAACAGGCGCATGCATGCATGCATACGCAACTGAAGAAGAACTGACAAAATGGTCCCGGTTTGGGCCCTGACGCCTTTAAATGAAACACCCCCATAAAGTTATCCAATGGGGTCCACCAACAACTTTAGTCAAAAAAGGAAGACGCCACATCACAAACGCTCCAGAGTAATCTAGAGCCCTCAAACAAAAAAAACAAGCATATGGGATCCCCACATCCCCAGAAGGGTGTCCAATATGGAGTGACCTGGATTAAAATTAACAAGCGAGATAGCTACATATGATGGGAGGTGGCACGATACAAAGTCGAAGTACCAAGAATAACACAGTCGCCAGTTACCTAGTACAAAGGAACCTCTTTCGTGGTTACCGAGGAGGGAATGCCCAAAGGAACTTAATTGATATTTGCAATTCAGAGGTTGAACACAGCCCTGTTTGGGACCCAAAAGTGATGTCGCTTTTCAAGGCTCCCCCAAATGGAGTCACCAGACGCTCCAGAGCCCAGCCACGCGCCACATAGCAATCCGGTTGAGCTCGCAAAGAGCAGCCTTCAGACCAGCCTGCAGACCAGCCTTTGTATGGCGGCGTCAGAAGGTTCCCATATTCAACGTAATCTGGGAGGAAAGAAGAGCTTTGTTCATGAAGCAGATTCTTGTAGCATCAGGCGACATGTTGTTTACGCTCCAGAGCCCAGCCACGCGCCACATAGCAATCCGGTTGAGCTCGCAAAGAGCAGCCTTCAGACCAGCCTGCAGACCAGCCTTTGTATGGCGGCGTCAGAAGGTTCCCATATTCAACGTAATCTGGGAGGAAAGAAGAGCTTTGTTCATGAAGCAGATTCTTGTAGCATCAGGCGACATGTTGTTTTCAATCATGAAAGCGCTGATATGCAGTTTGGTGTGCGGGTCGTGTATTGGCGCTGAACCACCGACAAGAAAGCACTGCTCAAGTGAGTGTTGTTCCTCAAAACAATCCCAGACATCATGGCTGGACTTTTCAAGCCAGGAGCATGGCAAAGACTTCATGCTGGTGGCCTTTCCCAGCACATGCCCGCAGGCAGGGAGGTAATTTGTCCACAATTCCTTAAAGGGATTGGTTCAAATTTGCGGATGGGACACAGCATTGCTGACACGCGGAACACAGAAGAAAGCAAGTGCAGATTTGTGCCTAGGGTTAGACATGTGAGAGCCTGGCCATCATTGAGTATTTCCTTCAGTGTTCCAAGTTGATGTCATACTTCTTCATCAAATGCTCGAAAAGGCAAGTCTCACTTGCAGACGTCATTGTTTTGCTTTCGAGTCCGAGCCTGCGTTGGTCGAAGGCACGGTGTTGCTTTGTTGTTGCGGGTTGCATGGATCCTTGTTCTGCGCAATGGGAGGGAGACGAGGAAGTTTGACATGACCTTGGCACATGTCAGCAAGAGACCTGCTTACATTGGGTGGGGGTCTCAATGTACCCAGAGGTCATTTGCTAGTCCCCAAGCTTGTCAAAGCTGAGGCTGCCAGTAAATGTGACATCGGAAGCTCATTTTTGGAAGCCCATTTTTCCAAACGGCTTAGCCTGCCATTTGGAGGTGCCGCCGGAGCTGGTTCAACTTCCTCCAGAGAAGTTAGTTTCGCTGCCCAGCAAGCACACAGCCTCCTTGCTGCAAGAGAGGACAAACTCCCTGAGTTCCTTGAAACTTTTTGCGATGACAATTTTAGTGGTAGACAAACAACTTTCTCGTGAGTGAGCCGACTGTGGCGGGCTTGCACTTGTGGTGCCATATGTTGGGAGTCGGTTGCAAGTACAAGCCCAACTGGACCCACATTTTCTTCCACTTGCATTCATTGCATTGGACAGGGAAGGTCACTCCGCGGGCTACACCAACTTGTAGTCCGGGTTTGTTAAGAATGATCCCATTGACGACTGGGAAGCCATACTACTCCTTCGGCAATATGCTGAACAAATTGGTGTCGCTCGGGGAGCCTGTTGAGAAGGCACATTGTTGGTGGGAGTCTCCTGAGCAAAGATCACAGGTGTCAGCCCCCCTTCCTTGGATCCTATGACAAGAGTCTTCTGAGAAAGAGAATCCAAGAGCTTGCTCAACTCTGGGCATGCGTTGCTTCCCCGCAGTGGATGCCCTAAATATTGCAATTGCAGGTAAAGGAAACAAAGAGAGGCTGCAATTTGCGACGAATCTTCATAGTGTTGTGTTGAGTTTGGTTGGTGCACTTGCAACAATGTTCATGGGACCAAGTCCTGCACCAGTTGGGGGTTCATCCGTCCTATCAGGTGAAGGTTTGTGTCCATCCACAGGGCATCCACCGGAAGACTCGCTCCAAGGATGTCCTGACCCCCCTTGAAGCGCAGATCCTCAAGCAGCGAGAGGTGCAGGAGGAGCTGAAAAAGGCCGCTTTGTGGCTTGCCACAGAAGGAAGATGCCTTTCTGAGGCATCAACAGGAACCCGTGGCTAATTGATAGGCAGGAGTCTCATTTGGAGCGAACGTATGCATAAAACCCCTGGTTGATGAATACACACTAGTAGGGGGGCCACTTTGCGTTGAATCTGTTTATTTGTGGTTTGGGGCACCAGTTTTCTGGGTTGGCATTAAAACATGTCCAATGGATGGGTGTTTCTTGGGATCCATGTGGCTCGCTCGAATCCCACGAGTTGGATCGATCCCAGGCCTGGAGCCACTGAGCCAGATGCTGAGTTGGAGCTGGAGAGTGGGGACAGCTGCACCTGCCAGAGCTCCGAGGAGACTTTGGTTTCGTCTCGGAGACCTTTTGTTGGCGTTGGCCATCGAAGGAAAAAGGCGGGCACGACCTTTTGATCTGCCAGGATCCAAGTACCCTTGGATGTTTCGTGGGGTTCGAAGGGAGTGACTTTACCTCCTTGGAACGTACTTAGACGCTTAGGCAGTGCTGTGGATGGACAAATTCCACCTTGGACAGCACTTTAGTCCTAGAATCATGACCCAGTTTGGTTTGACTTCTTCCATAACCGTCTTCTAATGATCTAGGGCCCCCAGTAGGAGCTACACCACTTTGGCTGTGAAACCCCGCTTCTCCGATACCAGGGAACCGTAAACCCGCTCTATATAAGTGGGAAATGAGTCATTTCGAAGGTGTAGTGCGAGTCGGCAACTTCCACGCGCCTTGGGTCCAAATTGAAATGAGCGGCCCCCGCCTATTCGACGTGTTATACAGTTGTTTTTATTTATGATCAGACCCCCCCAAGAAAAAAAAGAAAGAAAGAAAGAAAGAAAGAAAGAAAGAAAGAGAGACTGGGGATGTGTGGAAGTGTACTTTTTATGTGTTTGAGGTTTGAAATCTTGAGCAAGTCGTACGCTTGCTTTGCTGAAGAGTGTAACTGCGAGTTCTGAATCACTCAACGAGGGCCTCTACTGCTGCTAGTTGTTGCTGCTCATTCAAGCCAGAGTAGCTGCAGTTATCTTAGCATTGTTCTGTTCATTCATGTTTGACATTGGAATTGAACTAGATGTCAAATAGAATCTAGCATGGAAAGGCAAGCTGGTCATTTGCCTGCCCGCGCTTGCCCCTCAAAGGAATGAAAAACCAACAGAAACTCAAGGCAACCGTAATCTCAGTTCTATTGGTTTGCAAGTGTTGAATTGCAACACGTTCAGTTTAAGCCATGTTGTACTTAGAGTTCAATTAAAGCCTTGTCCAAGTAGGATTCTAGTTCGGATTAAGCAGAATCGAACAAGAAGGTATAGGCTTGTTGTTTCTTCTAATTTGCAAGCCCCTTAAAACGAGTGAACAACCAATGAAGAACATGGACAATGCAATTTCCATTCCAATTGGGTTGCATGTTTTAAATTGCAAGGCTTTTAGTTGAAATGGGATTTCATTTGGGACTTAACTTATTATGTTTGCACGACTTCAATCAGCATTTAATTGTTATTATGTTTAACTAGATTTCAATAGATAGGGAGCTCCTTCCAATTCTACAATTGGATTTTAGTTGCAACGTAATTATAATGTCATGATGATTTGACTAGACTTTAATATTGAGAAGCTGGCCTTCTAAGTAGATCAATTATAGTATTATTATTATTACTATTATGATTACTATTATTATTATTATTGTTATTATTATTATTTATTGTGAATGAGATGTAAAATAGAAAGTCCTTTCCACGTATCTAGGATTCTAGATAAGTTTTGATTGTAACTTAAGGAAAGACAAGCTGGTTGTTTCTTCTAGTTAATTCAAAAGTGATTTTTACATTTGACTTAGTTTAATAGGAATTAATGACATTTATTGATTTTGATTTTCATTTTAGATCGGAACTCCTTTCCGAGCAGGACTGAATTCAGTTCAATTTTAAAAAAACATAATAAGCAAAGGCAAGCTGGTTGTTTCTTCCAGTTTGCCAGCCCTTTGAAAGGAGAAAACTTAAAACACAAAAACCAAATCGAGAAAACCCCAGAACATAACAACATCCTCGAGAAAACCAAGAAACTACAACAAGTTTGAGGAAGCCAATACAAAGCGCAAGAAATCCAAACAACAAACCTCGAGATCGCAAACAAAACGACATTGACAAAAACAACAAAACAAAGACACGCACCGTGATTCCAGGACTCTTGTTTGTTTTTGTTTGTTTCCTCAAGTTTTGTTCGTTTTGGGTTTTCTTGAGTTGTTCTTGCTTTTCTTCTGTTTTGGTGGTTTCTCTAATCTGTTTTGGTTTTGCCTGGACCTACCCAGACGTTTCCCCTGCTTTGGTTGGAGTTTGGCAATTGACACCAGCTTGATTCACGGAAAGACTGCAAGCCTCAAAACGCGGCAAAAGCGTAATAACTACCGTGGTCGCCTGCTCTGAAAAAAGCATGGGTGGTGAAGGGCCCTTTTCCACCCAACCTCCACTGAAATTCATAGCCATGCGTGCAATGGTCAGAATACATTTCTAGCTTCAGGTTGTTAGGGTGTAAGGGCCCCTGAATACGAATTGTTTGAAAACCATTACAAGGTTTTCCATAGAGCCAGTTTGGACCATGGCAGTGAAGTGATGAAAATGCCTTGCTACTGCTTCAATGAGCCATTCGTTTCATTGGCTTGCTGGAGACCTTCCCATTGCCAAAAGCAATAGAACCACGATTGTCATTCGGCTGGCCACTGCCATCGTTTGCTCTCAACCAGTTGAACAGATTGACATTACTGCGGTTTCATGTCAAGCCAGAGCATTGCATTTGGGCTGCTCAACGTAGTTTGCAATTTCTTCAAGGCAGCGAAAGGAAATGGAGTCCCTTCTGTATACACGGGTTTTCCAAAGGGATTTTAGTGTCTCAGTTGCTAAATTGATGCATGTTGTGAAGATCATGTTGGATTGAAGAGACAATATCCTGGATCTGTTTGGGAATGCCCACTCACAGAGACGCTTTCGGGTGTATGGCCTTTTTAAGCCCTAGTTAACCCCCTCCAAATCCCTTGAACTCCTGGTTGAACACTTAGACAACCTCCTAACGTTCTTCCCAAAGAGCTCAGCCACTGAATGTCAACGTTCTCAACATCTGCCCAAGGGTTCATACAGATATGGATATGAGTCAAACTAGGGGACACCACACCCATATACGACCCTATATGTTCGCCCTTTGTTGGGTAACATCGATCTTTTTCCCCTTGCGTTGCCTTTGCCTTAGAACAGCTTCAGGACGAGGAGGAGGAGGAGGCAGAGGCTCCCGAGAAGCGGCGGCGCTTGGAGGATGGATGAAGACAGGGGTGCCGCCCAAGTTGAGAAGCATAATGCTTGTTGGCAAACAGCTGTAGACGACTGTGGTTCTGATTGATGTTGGTGTTTTTTTTTACCATGCGGAGCTGCCTTCCTGGGTGTTCACTGGTTTCGTATTGCGATGGTTTGCCTCGAAGCACGGCGAGCAACGACAAGGCCCTGACAGGGTGGGGCAATGGCCTCATGCGGCTGAAAAAGGTGCTGCTCAACATGCATCCGGGGGATGCTGTCCCGCAAAGAATTATGGAAGCCCAGCAGCACCAATTGCGGAATCTTTTTCAAGAAACCACATCGCTTTGGGTTCCATGGAAGGCGTATCACAGGATGATTGCGATAGGAGTCCCTTCAACCAAACACACAAGCTCGTACTGCCGCCGGAACTGGTTGCTTAGCCTAAGGGCCTGGAAAACTCATTTCTGGAATGATTGCTTGATGAACTCATTGCCAGAATTACAGCCGTCCACATATGCAGAAAGGATTGTCAACGCAGCTGGTCAACTTGAGGGTTGTTATCAACCTGTTGGTATTGTGTTGATATTGACAGAGTGCTTGTCATAAATTTGCCATTGTCAAAAGGCTCCCTTTCTTGGGATCGATTGGAAACATGGTCATCCCTGGTTGTACACAACCAATGCAGAAGTTCCTACTATGGAAATCATGACAATGGCCATCCTATGGGTATTTGCCTCTGAGGGTACACTTTCTGGGTTGGCTTCAAGGGAACCTAAAGGGGCAACCACCATGTGGGTTCCCTGGTTATGCACACCGGTATGGAGCGTTGGCATTTACGACTGGCAGGTTTGTTTGTAGTGTTCGTGGCCAGATGCAGAGCTTGGCGCGGAAGGAGAAGGGCACGAGAAAAGCAACTTGATTGCAGTCCCCAATTTGCATGTCGGGTTACTTCCATGCAAATTGGCAAGAAGCTGCCCCAAGAGGAGGTGGCTCCACAAATGAGGGTCCTTTGATTGCAAGGGGAGCGTCATGAAAGTTGACGGAGGCGTGGGGGCTAGTATTTGCCATTTCGCCAGTATTCTTATTGCTTCGCTGCCATGATTGTTGGAGGCTAGGCATTTTCAGCGTTGTGCAATTGATTGTTGTTAGATACACTATTATTGTCATTCTTATTGTTATGAAAACACTAAATTATCGGTATTACTAGTATATCATTGTGTTTTATGTTTCTTCATTCATGTTCTTCCAGTGGAGTGATGTTTGAAGGGCACCTTTGGCTGGACCCCGGTCTAGTTGTCCTGTCTCCGCTATTGGCTCAGCCTGGCGCGGTACGCATCGTGTCGCGCCGGATGAAGCTTGGCCGCAAGGAGTGGATTTGTTGCCGAGGTCAAAACACCTCAGCAATAGGTGTCCTCTCTAGGTTAGTTAGTTCGGCTAGAAATAGATGGCACTGGTTTAGATGGGTTTCATTCTAGTTACCAGGGCCATCTATTTTCCCAATCGGACACCTATGCACCTGAGTTGCGTCTGATTTTGTTCAATGTTTTGTTTGTTTTGTTCGGACATGGCTTGAAGAAAGGTATGCCCAGCATAGCCCATGGTTTTGAGACATTCAAAAGTCGGCTTGTGCACTTCGGACTATCCCAGTTGCCCAGTTGCGACTTGGGTTCATTTTTGGTGAGTGGTCCCCTTTCACGTCAACCAACAAACACAGGGCGACGACCTGTCCCATGGCAACTGGGCAAGTACGATCTGCTCACGAATGCGACAAAACCTGGATCAGTCTCAGACGGCTGAGGCCACTGATCAACCTGGAGATTTTGTTGTTTATTCATGGTCTCCAAAACTCATATTTTTTGATCAAAACAAAAAACGCATTCCAATCACTTTGGGATCTCCATGGGAAATGCCCAAGTGAACATTTGGACTTGGACGAGGTTCCATGTAGGTTATATTCCGAAGATCGTACCCTTGGGTCATATTAGGTGTACTCCTGGAACCTTTGAGACTGAATCGCACTTCGCAACCGTTCTCCCAGTGCATGTTGGAATGCATCAGGCACTTTGCCTAAGTCCATAGGTTGTCACCCCCACCCCAATGGTTTCGGTGCCAAGGACATGTCAAGGCCATTCTAGCCATGGCCTTGCGCGGCCATGACATCCCAGTGCGGGGCCCAACCGAAGTGACCCCCAGCTTCAGAAACTTCGAGGGTTGCTCGTGGTGCCCGGAAGTTTGCGTAGCAAGGACTTTGTTTCCCACAAAACGGTCGGCCAGTGTCCGCTTGGAGGTACAAAGCCCGCAAGTCCTAGGCACCAGTTGGCCTGGTTTTGTCACCCCTTACCGTTCGGGTCACTTACCTGGGTTACGTGCGCACCACGTTTGGGGCCGAGGTGCAACAGCAGGGCCAAACTGAACCCATTGAAGCTCCCTCGCTTGGGCCAAGTTGATGAACCCCAAGATCAGCCAAGCTTTGTATGTGTGCGTTGGACCGTTTGTCTCTTCTTATTCCCACCCGACAGGAAGGGGTTGTTAGACTTTATGTTGGAATCCGCGTTTGCGATGCTTCTGCACCACGCCCCCACCCAGTATCCCGCCAGAGCAGCTCGCCAGTGGATCCCGCCGAGTATCCCGCCAGAGCAGCTCGCCAGTGGCCGCCAGAGCTGCTCGCCAGTGGATCCCGCCGAGTATCCCGCCAGAGCAGCTCGCCAGTGGATCCCGCCGAGTATCCCGCCAGAGCAGCTCGCCAGTGGATCCCGCCGAGTATCCCTCCAGAGCTGCTCGGATCCCGCCAGAGCAGCTCGCCAGTGGATCCCGCCGAGTATCACGCCAGGGCCAGAGCAGCTTGCCAGCCGAGGATCCCGCCAGAGCGGCTCGCCAGTGGATCCCGCCGAGTATCCCGCCAGAGCAGCCCGCCAGTGGATCCCGCCGAGTATCCCGCTGAGTATCCCAGAGTAGCTCGCCAGTGGATCGCGCCAAGTATCCCACTGAGTATCCCAGTGCCAGAGTGGATCGCCAGTGGATCGGGGCAAGTATCCCTCTGAGTATCCCTTGGCGGTGGATCTTGCCAAGTATCCGGCCAGCGTCGAGCCGGAGCGGCTTGCCAGTACTCTCCAGTGGATCCCGCCAGTATCCCGCCAGAGCAGCTCGCCAGTCTGGTTTTGCTTAATGTCCCGCCCGGTGCACAGTTGGGTTTACATTTCATGTTGGTGCCTTCGTGTTTTGAGTGTGCCCTGAGGCTCGGAAAGGGTGATGCTTTTGTGGTGTTTTGGGCTGTGAACACGCAACTTCGTTTAATCCCCCGTCGGGTTTCTTTTTGGAAGGAGCTTGGCTTTTGTTAACGGAACCGATGTTTGAGTTCTCGAGATCGGCTTGCAGACAAGTGGAGTTTGACACACAGACAGATGGATAAGGCTCTCAATGCAAAGCTTGTTGAGCAGTCATAGGCCCCAAGCCACTCGAAAACCATGCTTGAATTCACGCAACCGTGCTCACGGTCGTAAGCTCGTGAGTGCGGAGGGTGGGGATTGCTCGAAGCGAAGCAATTATTTTTATTTTCTTTTGTTTTGGGCAGGGGTGTGTGAAAAGGGATCGATTCTATGAGCAACGGTTGCAAGATGTTGTTCGTGCGGGCGTTTCTGTTTCCGTGCTTCTTCCAGTCATTGCTCTTCCAGTCATTGCTTCTAAGGTCGGTTCAAAGAGCAAACACAAGGAGAACCACCATGTTGAGGGGTCCTCCTATTTTGACCCATACCCAAATGCTTGCATCAGCAGGTGGTTGTAGAACTGTCTTATGAAAACCTTCTACCAAACGCGTGACTTTGTTGTTTGTGTCAGGCTCCTTGAAGGGTTGATGTGAGGCCAGGTGATGTGTTTGCCCCCACAAGCAGAGGGGGTATGAGTTGACAACACACCTTGCGCTGGGCAGCAGCATGCTCTTTTTACAGTGGTCAGACCGTGCATAAGTGGGGGGTTCACCCTAAGGACCGGAGGCCAGTGGCAAGTCCATTAAGCTTGTTGGTTCCCCTCGTTCTTGTTCAACCTCAAGAGAGGAGAACCACTGGTTTGCTTCCAAACTTCCTAAGCTCCTCGGCTGGATTGGATTCAGAGGGCACTGGAATCAGTCGATTTTAAGCATTTACCGAAGCTTACTTTCCAAGTTTCCGGACTCTTTTGTTGGGACGTTTAGACAATGCACCCAGAAAGTGAGTACAGGCCTCAGAGAGCAAATACAATATGATATACATAACGCGCTCAATCGTTTCACACATTGTTCTCTAATGTTCATGACTTGATGTGGTCTTACAGTACTCAAACACCCCGAGTTCTAGTTATTCGGTTCCTTGTAGTATCCTTGGAGCCGAATTCCGCAGTTTCTAGTCCAGGCGATTGCGTCATGGCCGGCGATGCTGGGAGCTGGCGGAGCTGGCAGCGTTTGATCAAATCCAGGGTGATCATATCATTCCCCCAACCCCCATACACATGTTGGGAATTCCATTTGGCGTCGGGTCAAAACCAATGGTACCATTTGGGGTAGGTGCACCACCCATTTTAGTCTATTTTAGTGGGGATTGGGATTTTCACTGGGGGCACGGGCTTTTGACCCATGGCCATTTATAGATTCATTTCTCCCCCTGTTCACAAGTTGTCGTTTGTTTGTTTGTTTGTTTGTTTGTTTGTTTGTTTGTTTGTTTGTTTGTTTGTTTGTTTGTTTGGTCATGTAAATGGTCACTAAATATTAGCTAGTTTCAATCATGTGCAAAAGATGGAGTAGTAAGCAGATTGTCTTTTTCAGACATCCCAGTGGAGCCCAGGCAGGTAGCCAGCCAGTGTCCTTTGAGTTGTGACCTATGCTTGGCTACCCCACTTCACAGACAAATGGAATCACTGGGCTAGCTTATTCTACAATGGTTGACGCCCCGAAAAGTGTGGGATTCCTCTTGAAGGCATTTTAAGCTTGACACACCAAACGCGGCAAGCGGCTTGCCAGCGGCCTGCGTGTGGCAACTGTTTGGTGTTGGTTGGTCCTATTAGCTAGGACCTTTTGCATGAAGTATCGGATGGCCAGGTTCATGTTGATTGTTTCC